TATTCATCTATATTATTTATAAAAATAATATCGTAGAACTAAGATGAAGGGATCATTGAAAAAATGCGATAATCAACAAAATATGATTCTTATAATATTCTCAAAAAACATCACGTTGCTTGTATTCTGTCTCATGGTAAGTCATTACTATTTAAAAAAAAAAAAATTACTATTTATGCAATTTATAAGGATTTATCATACTAATCTAACAGCAATAAATTTTATAAAAAGTAAATAATCAAATCATGTCACTTTCATTTCAAATCATGAAATCTTTACGGCGTTTTGTATATCTTTTTAAGTATTGAGAAAGATTGTAACAAAACTTGAAAAAATTTTAAATTGTAGCCGAGTTTCTTGTATACTAATTTGCCTTATAAAAAAATCTTTTTATATCTGTACTCTTAAAACGCAGAAGTGAAAATTCTTGTAAATTGTCAATGTTCCAGAGATATTTTATTTACAATGAAAATAATGGATAAAGTAATTAGTATCGCAATATAACTAATGTTTTATTCACTATAATTTAAAAGTCTTTGTCTTTCTCTGACGGCGCTCGTGCAATCGCTCGCTCGGAATTGTGGATGATCAGCGTCGATATTCAATTATCCGGTAAAAAAAAAATTATTTTCATGTAAGCTACCTTGTTATTGAGAAGGTAATGATAGGCAGGATTTCAATGCAAGTACCTAGGCCGAACCCAAAGGCCGAGGGTAAATGAGCGAGGACGGCGACGCTGTTGCCTCAATATTTTCGAATTACCACCCCAACGATTCTCTACCAAACAAAGCGCACCTCACCCCCATTGTATTTCAATCGATACGTACTATACAGCACTATCGAACTCCTTTTCTCTCTCTCTCTCTCTCTCTCTCTCTCTCTCTCTATCTATCTCTCTCTCTCTCACTTTATCTCTCGTTCTCGTTTCTGTGGAAGCTCGCAGGCTCCGGAAAAGTCTCTCCTGCCAGGAAGCGCTCGCATGTCATTTGTGACGTTGGCCTTGCGGCTCGATTAAAATTCATATTAGAAACTGCGTTTCCTCATACGCTCGACGTCCCATTCTATTGGCCTACTCTTATGCGGCTTGAATAACTCGCGGTGTAATGGCAAAATTAATAGTGCATAAGACTTTATCGATGAATAAATTTTAGCTCCGCGTAAACCAGCGTGTTACAAAGTTTGATTTGATAAAAAAAAAAAGGAGAACAAAAAAGGAGGTCTTGTCGCCTGATAAATTTATAATTGAGAGAAGCGTGTAATCGAAGGTAAGGAAAGTTAACAAAGTTTTTATAGGGCAGACATTACGCGCGCCTTCTCTCTCCTCTTCCTACTCATCCTATCCGCCCCCAACCGCTCCCCCCCCCCCCCCCCCCCCCCCAGCCATCACTCGCTGGTTCTGCTTCTTTTACTTGGGGATTTCTTCAAGCAGAATTATGCGGCGAGGGTAGATTCAAGCGTCGGCGAGAATTAACGTCTCTTGTGGCATAAAAAATCTGTGTAATCAATTATCGAACCTTTTCTTTACCCTATATTTCACGGCCAATGAGTCTCCGAATCCCCAGAGTAGTTCTTATTCTCATCTCACTTCCTTCGCTTATTTTCTTCCTCATCCTTATCATCCTTACGTCCTGCCTTCAATTTCCTTTGATTCATCAAATATTTGCAATCTCAAATTGCGCGTTAAAGTTTTAAAAGACAAAAATCTGCATATTCGCGCGCATACGCAATTCCAAAGTCGTGTTTTATTCATCGAATAGATAAAGTAGAAACATTACTTAATTCTTAATGGGACTAATATGTTTTTTTTACAAAATCTCGTTGCATTTACATTTCTCAAAAATCGCATTCGTCATATCTGGAATTATGATTGCTTTAAAGCAATACATCAACAACAAAATTCCTTCACTGCATATAACATTTGCCAATTATTCTTCAAAGTAATTGTGTCTCGCATTACAGCATAAGAATAAAATAAATACTCATGGCCGTACACTGCACCGAGGACGCACGATTATAATTTATCCATCTGTAAACTAAAATTTGAAATTCATCGCCGACATCATCGTGCACACGTATGCGCAAGCGCGTCAGTAATTCCGAGAGCTTTATCCAACAATAAAATATACATTCGCCTGAAAGAGTCTCTCGACTCAAGATTTAAAATACTACTTAGGATTCTCGTAGGCGCGTGCAAAATTCATCCCGTCGCACTTAAGCACTAAGTACTGCAAGCCATCCACGTTGCAGTGTAATTGCAGGGGTGAGTGGGAGCGAAAGAGACAGAGACAGAGAGAAAGAGAGAGAGTCATAAAGAGAGAGAGAGATAGAGAGAGAGAGAGAGAGAGAGAGAGAGAGAGAAACTCGCGTTAAATGCCGGCCAATAATTATGGCACGCGGCGGTGATGTCTGTACGAGTGCTCCGGACGAATGCCCGACGTATTTCGCGGCGACCAGCTAAAGGGTTGGAAGGGCGACATGGTGGCGAGGCGCGTGTGCACCCTTTAGCGCGTCCATTGATATGGCATTAATCCAAGCGAGCAAAAGTCAAAGGATCCGCCGTAATGACTCGACCGGAACGCATCTATTCGCACGTCACTCGGCTTGTGTGCGTGCGCAAACGAAGCCAATGACCAGCGAAGGGAAGCATCTCTCCTTCGTACGCGAGTGAGGCGCCCTTCGATCTCTTTTTTTTTAAAAGCTTCGGACTAATTTGACGGCCCATACTGCCCTCCGGCTAGCAGCTATATGTCATTAAATTTTCCGCGGCTTTCCCCGCTGTAACTTTTAACTCTCCGGGAAACGCTCGCGCCTAATGAGTGCTTAAGTGGCGTACCAACGGATCTTCAAAATGAGAAAATCTTTTTTCCCTATATTTATTTTAAATATTACTCGCGCCATAATATGATGACTCTGCCAATTCATACTATTGCTTGGCCTTTCATACAGCTATCGCATTGTTTTTATTGCTTCATTAATAATGAATACCTTTTGCATAATAATACTAGGATTGACACTGCCTCGACGTAAGCACTAGTGAAATTAAAAGTTTCTAAAGTTATTTCGATTAGTAAATTGTGGCAAGATGTATTGTGAAAGCAGCAATGAATTAAGAATCTTAAATATAATTCAATAGATTGTTCACGCTGTGCCAACTTAAACGTTGAAACAGTTTAAAATTCAATTAGAATTGTTGTACAATTTTGAAGTGGATTAACGTTGCGAAAGTCAAATAATCGATATTTTGATATTCAAAGGAAAAGATAGGTGTCCTTGAGCGATTGTTATTGCTTATTGCAATTTAGTTGAAACTGAATCCATGAATAATAATGTCAGACAATGGAATTACCTAATTGAGAGATCTCGATTTATCATTTACATGTATTGCAAAAAAGTTTCGCTCGAGCTCATCGTGATTTCAAAGTATGAGCCAACACTCGATGTAATAATCTTCCCCTTCGCTTTTACATGTAAATTAGCCTTTTTTCTATTCTTTGGTTTTTTTTTTTTTTTTTTTTTTTTTTTTTTTTTTAATAACGGACGCTCGGCTCTCGTAAGCTTTATAGCAGATTGCGCATCAGTTTACCAAAGTTCACATGGAGAATTTTCCGATATTTATGGGCGCACAAAGTAAGGAGGCACGAGGGGAATTTATTAAGAGCGCCTACCCGAGATTGCTAATAAGCTGAAAATATCGATGGGCGATATGAAAATTACTCGCGCTCGCAACGTCGTCTCCCGGTGCTTATGCGGTAGTCACCCCCCTCCCCCCCAAGTCCTGTTCCTGTTCACGGTCCCGGCTCTATCACTCCGCCCACTCCCTTAACCAGCGCAGGTAGCCCGTGCACCGCATACCCCGCGTCAACGTGGCAGCATCGAGCTTCGTGTACCTGGCACACAAGTATTTAATATAACGATGGAGGGCTTGCGCCCGGAATGTGGATATAAGCCCGTGAAAATAATCGCCGAGGTAAGCGACGTCTTTCTCGATAAACGACTTTGCAGTTTAAGATATTTGCGCACGCCCCTCGCTCAACATAAGTGTTTATTGTGTGTTTATGTTTAGCGAGTATCGAGCAAACTGGAGAAATTTTATGTAAATTGCAGCTGCTTAGTATTAATTAAGCTGCGGGAGGAAATCAGCTATGTCTCAACCGTCGGTGGTTTGGCATTTTACGCATTTTCTTGTCGATTTCCACGACGGCCACGACGAATCAGGACTATACAGACGTATCGATCGATGTTTCTCGATGACAAAAGGACACGATGATCCGCCCATCGGCAGACTTACCGTATAAATGCTCCTTGGCCTCTTATAAATGCATTGCCTTATTTTCACACATTTTCCTACATTTTCGCCACTCGTGAATTCAATTTGAACTTTGGACTGTCAAAATTAAATGGGAAAGCGAAAGTTTTGAAATTCAGTCTCTCGATGTTGGAAGAGCAATGTGAACAGTTGCCCATTGCAATGTTTTCTTAATGCCTAAATAAAGAATTCTCGGTGATTCCCGAGAGCGGAGATGCGTCGCACGGTACATCATAATAACGAGGCGGGACGCGAGTACGTTAAATGCGCAAGCGTTTATCGAGCAACGAAGACGCCGCGCATTGCGAGACGTCACGTCGAAAAAGGCTGGAGGGTCGACATTCATGAGATAATCCCCTTTGGCGAGCGCACCGAGGCCATAGAGGTGAAGAGAGAATAGAGGAGATGTCGGATGAGCCGCGCGGCAAAGAGACCGCGAAATATCTGCCGAGTTGCCGTACTTTCCCTTGCGTTTATCCCCATCCTGATAAACTTTGTTGCACTTTTGCTTCGGTCCGCGCGATACGTCCGACTAGGCGAGCCAAAGCTCAATCCCATCCGTCTCGCACGCTACACTCTTCTTATTATCCAAAGTCTCCTACGTTTTTGTCCCGACGAGACTCTTTGGAAACTCTTGGAGAGCGAGCCAATAATACTGCGTGATGCGGTCAAAAAATTTTGCCAATTTCTCTGCTCTTTCATCCAATCAATTTTTATTAAACATATAATAAACTGGTATAAACTTAATAAATACTTTGTCACAAATATAGTGGGCGCATTCTTGCCAAAACGACAAAACACACTTTATTTGCCATGCCGATGTTTCTTAACCGTCAACAAACAATTATATATTTCGTATCACATTGCACCTCTTAAAAACTTTACATACAATAATTTTAACATTAATAACGACATATTGTTGTATAAGCTATTGAATATGGAGATGAACGGAGAAGTCCGTTTAAAATGAGTCGGCGCCGCTTCGCTTATCAGGACTAGAGTGAAACAATTTAATATGATTTTCCAATGAAATCGGTCCCTTGAAGTACTTTTGGCACGTATCACAGTGAAATTTATACTTATTTTCGTGACATCTAAGGTGCTTATTGAGTAAGTCTTTGCGCGCGAATGTCCGCTCACAACTATTACACGGAAATTTGTCCGGATTAGTGTGAAAAATATTGTGCCGCGTTAAATTATCAAGTCTGGAGTATTTTCGTGTACAAATATCACAGGCGAATTTGTTGCGTTCGGAGTGACACCTTTGGTGATACCTTAAATAACGTTTCTGTGCAAATGACTTACCACAAGCGCAACAAGTCAGCTGATTCGTATCGTCCGCTTGTACGTTCAAATGTTTTTTAACTTCGCTCTCGCTATTGAACTCTTCCTTGCAATAAGGACAAGAGCTCTTTGAAGCTTGCTTTTCGCGTATGATCTTTTTCAAGAAATTCGGATCTGTCATTATTTGATAGAGGTACGTATCCTTGAATTTGTTACCTTCGACGGATGGGCCTGCGATAGGGGCGCTTAAGCCATTCTTTACAGAAAGATCCACGGCTTCGATTTTTCCTTCTATCGAAAATGGTGTCCACTTTTCGAAAATGTTATGTGGAATTGTATTCTGTAAGAAACATTATACACACTTACACACTCTATTAATTACGCATATTTCGTCCATTATAACCGAATGGAATTGATCGATTTCGCACTCGCGATAAATAATTTCCTACCAACAGCAAATAGACCAATTAAACAAATTATATTCATTTGTTTTACAAAATATCGGGACTGAGTTAGAGGCATATAGAAAAAAAAAATCGTATAATGGGCTGTGGTATTTGGTGCTTGTACTTTCGATAGTAATAAATGTAATCGAGCATAAGAAATATATTAATTATAAATTGTAAATAAAATTTTGCCTTTAATTCATTTATGATTTGTGATTGTGAAGGCAAATGGTAAAAGTGGAATGTCGGACAATTCTTAGAAAAGCTTACTAGTCGTGTAACGATGTTTATAAATTTTCGATAGGTGATAAATCGGCATTAACTCTCTATGTCCTAGAAGTCTCGAGATTATTAGATTATGCGGAGTGAAGCGAAAATTAAGTTTATACTTTAGAGCCTTGGATTATCAATTTTCCATAATGTAATCAATCATTTAAATAAAATTACAAAACAATCGAACATCAAGATGAGCATAAAACTCATACTGTATGTGATAAATTTCTTATATTATTAATAATTATTAGACGATAGTTCGTGTGTTAAAATTTAATGCTTATATACGTTTGAATGCGTTTGAAATTTATGGCAAAATATTAAATTAAACTTACCTGTTTATGAGCAACCAAATCTATCTCTTGAGCAATATCGTGATAGTTTGTGAAATGGACAGTTTTCATGCAAGAAGACCCGCTTCCTTCGAATTTTTTTGTCGAGAAATAATCCAGCGCTGCATTTTTTGCTTTCGCATGTCCTTGACTGTTATCTTTGCGAGGCAGATGTCGTGGTACGCTCTTTACACGCATTATACTCTAAAAATTGTATACATTACATGCTTATCAAGTGGACGAAAAGTTTTGCTAGCGAAACGTATTTAATCGAGAGAACAGAAATAATAAAATTAAAATGCATTAAATGAAAATTTACTGTGAGAAGGTGAAAAAATAATAATTGGCGACGAAAATACGAAGGTATCACACGTGTCAGTCCGTCTTCACACTAATCGCTTCGACGATCGAATGACAACGTTTCAACAATTTGGACGATTCGTGCCCGGAAAATGTCCTTAGAACGTCTTTGTATAGTACGAGCAATACAATGGCTTGGCGGAGTCGCAAACAGATCGTTTCCACACTTGAAATTCCATTCAAATCCGATTTATTTTGAAACTTGTTGCTATATTTATGTTACAGACCGAGTAATTTCATCGGTTTATCTGCTAATATACAGTCGATGAAAAATGAGCGGTAAAATTCTCGCGCTTTCGTTAAAAATTTCATAAATGGCAATTGTTATATGTGAATAGTTAATAATATTTGTCGAAATTTAAATATCGCGGAGCCTCGGAGAAATACACTAAGTTTAATGACACGTATCCAAAATACGTGCAATCCAAAATAAAGCTGAAAAGCGCTTAACCATACCCAAATATCGATTTACCCAACTTTTATCGATACGTCCGATCTCTATCTATCTCTCTCTATCTCTCTGACTCTCTTTCTCTCGCCATAATACGTTGTTCAAGTTTATCAGTTATCCACAAAACTTTCGGATAATGTTAAAAATAACGCTTGTTTCGCTAAACTCGATATCCATATCCATATACAATCCATAATACTTCATATCCAACGCAATGTAAATATGATAATGGCCAACGAAATTATTCATTTAGTCGTTGTTAGCTCGATTGGACTCGAGAACACAATCTGTTGCACTTTTATCCTTTGACAGTGCTTACGCGAGTCCTTGCAATTAGAAAATTTCAACGAGTAACTCATAATCGCCGCTGGAATAAAAGAACATTGACCTCTAGGCGATGTCTCATATGAAATTAGACGGCCCATCTATTATTTCTCCTTGGAGTGTATTTTTATTTGAGTAATAAATGCAATAATAAAACGCGTGTAAATGGCATTTCAAATATACATGCAAAAAGCTGAGGGTCATCAAGAGAAACAAGGGGCGTATTGATAAGAAGAGAAAAACGGGAAAAGGGATCGGTTCGAGTATTTTTAATTGTAGACCAGCAGCAAGTACAAGTGGGAGGACACCGAACGACTCTTGGTATTGTCATACCTCGAGCAATGTTACGGTGCTTTTCTTTATTTCCCCAGTGGCTGGATGAGGTTATACATTTTTTTTTTCATTCGTTCCCTTTTCCGTTCTTTCTCTCGGCGTGCCCACGTCCTCTCTTTTCTCTCTTTTCTTACGGCGCGGGCAATGCCTCCATCTTCTTATTAGCAAAGCTAATTGGAAATACAAATGGTTATTCACGGTAAGGGAAATGGCGTAGGTCGCTACCAGACGACTCCAGACTACGAGGACTAGCTTCGGCAGGGCGGCAGGAGGCAGGATGAAGGTGGTACACTTCTGCGTATTAAGCTCGTATTTGCTCCAGATAATTAGGACTTTTTTCCCGGCCAATTTGGATGAATAATTGATTTTACTCCACCGACGTGCGTTTCACTCTCGCTCACTCTTTCTCGTTCGTTCTCTCTCTCTCTCTCTCTCTCTCTCTCTCTCTCTGTCTCGTGCCAGCTCGAATCCTCTCGTTATGTGCTAGTGCTATTTCTCTTTCACCTTCTTTAGTTCGCCTTTTAGAGGTACTCTCTGGATCATTTCGAGTGACAATCAACTCGACGTAAAAAACGGATCTTCCTGTTGAAATATTCAGCGCATCTCGGAATTATGCTTCGATGGTTTCCTCTTAAAATGAAGAATACGAGTTGAAAGTCGTCGAAAAATGCAACTTCACTTTAAACATTCAAATCAACAGCATTATATTCTTACATTCTTAGTTGAGTGCCATTCACGCATACGAGCATCCAAGCAATTTCCTTCAGTAAAATATCAATTGACGAATAATGTACGTGTGGTATACGCAACTACATAAGTCATCGACGCGTTGCATTATACGTAGCGGGGAAGAGATTTTTAATTTTTTTAATTCAAAGTTCCCGGATGCGGTTGCCAAGTAAATTACACGCAATAGCGAATTTTTTTGAAAGTCGAAGCTCTGCGAATCAGTCTGTCTCTCGTTCGACGAGCATCCCTCTCTCCCTCTCTTTTCCCTCGACGTCTCACTTACTCGCACTAAGGGGGCAGGTCAGGGCTTTTCTGAAAAATATGAGTTTAATAAAGAAGAGGGTGTGATGTATGGCTCCGTGCCAGGGGGAAGAAACTCGCGAGATCAGCCAGCTTCGATACGCCAGGTATTGTATACGTAATATAAGTTACGCCGCAGAAGGCGAACTTTATAAGGGGCTTTGCTGAAAAAAAAGAAAGAAAAAAGAAGAAAAAAAAAAGAAAAGAAAATAATAAAAAATAATACCGTGCGTGATGCTTTTATTACATTCGTGACGAAAATCAATCGTTATGCAGTGTTGCTCGGGAGCATTGATTTTACATAAGAAACATTTCTTTCCTTTTTATTTTTCGTTGCTTGTTTGTTCAGTTATTTTTTACTTTTATGTTTCTGCTTTTTATTTCCATACCCACTGTTACATAATACTCTCTTATTTTAATATTTAAGCATTTAACGGATAACTTTTAAGCGAAATTAGGTACGATGCAAAAAAAAAGCCACTGCACAGAGATTTTTAATGAAATGTTGCAAAGTGTTTTCGTACAAATTGTTTTATTGAAATTAACATTGTATAAATAATTATTTGTTTTTAATTTTATTCTCATTATTGATTAAACTATTTCGCACAACTGTGGCAATAATTTTAATTTTACAATTAAATAATGAAATATACTTACATTGTTTTACAAAAGTCTGATAAAAGCAGTCTGAGAAAAACATTTAGACATTATGTCTTTCATAAATGTATAAATCAACCTTACTATTTAATATCTTTTATATTGTCATTACATATTATTACATAATCAGTACTATTTAATTAAGGAAGATATGCATTGGGCTTGTCTGGGAAATTATTCTTAATTTTACTTAAAGTTTTAATTTTATCAGCCACGGAATGTACATGCACATACAATGAAAAACTATCGAAAATATTGTCAGAATATTTCACATTCAGTAAAAATGCTCCTGAATATTTTTCTAAAGCTTTCCACTCGAATCAAACTGTAAAAAGCATAGACACTTGGTACATCAAATGTTTGCTCCTTTTCACGCGCTTTTATCGAAAATGGAAGTTCAAAGCTGATTCGCTGATTCTCTTGAGGCTCCTAACCCTCAAAACAGTTCCGATTTTATCAGATTTCTTTTAAAAACTGTAACTTCAGTTCAAACAAAATTTCAAAACGTTATTTTCCTGTATAAGTGACGTAATTTTATGCGGCACCTGAAATTCCAGCTCTACAAGAAGAGAAATTTAATTAACGTTATAATAACATTACATTGACGAGATTATCCGACAAAGTGAAAGGTAATATTTAATCTTGTATTCGAATATCAGATAAGTAAAATTCAGGTGATTTTCATGTAAATCGATAATGGTGCCTACTGAGCCACATTGCGTGGCAACTCTCACAGGATGCTCGTAACTTATCCAGATAAGGGGTTGTAAAATGGCGACATATAGCTGTCTGCCAATATGGTTTAACCCCGCATATCGCACAACGTACAAGGGAGCAATTCCATAGAAATTGATGTCATTTGAATATCGCGGCTCGGCTCCCGTTTTTCTTCCTGTACAAAGCAGCCGGCAACTCGCAAATGGGGATTTATACTGTCAAACTGTATCTTACCTAAATCGCTGTCGACGTTGCTTATGCCGACTTTCCTTCTATTCGCGATAAGTCTCTTATAAAACATACGGCTTTTTCAAACTCTTCCCTAACGCGTGGCAAACATTGGCTTATTAACGATAAACAACGCCAATGACACATAATAATAATAATGTGTACGATAATGGCAGAGGATGCGTTCGGAAAGCGCTAAGGCAGAAAAAAATATCCTATTGAGATTTCAATTTGGAATTAGAAGCGAATTATCGATGCGAGATAGGAAGGGGATAAGCAAAAGGTCCAATTGATAATTGATAGCGCATGCTATTCAGTGCTATGGTGGTAGTTTGTATGCAAGGAGAATAAAAATAAGTTGAACGAATAGCCGCCCGTTTGAATCATGGGAGTCCTGGAATTTATCCGAGGCAACTGGATAAAAGGGTACATAATGCGAAGGCTAAAACAATATTTGGTACGTGACTAGGTAAGGCGCAAAGCCCCGGCTGTTTATCAAAGCCGCTCGGATGCAACAGTCGAAGCGCGCGTACACACCAGTAGCCGTCAATAGCGCTTCTTAGATTATGCATAAAGCTCTTTCGACCTGGGAATGCCCCCCCCCCCCCCCCCCCCCCCCCACCCCACCCTCCTTCCACCCTCACT